ATGAGGGTGAAGGAGGAGGCTGGTGGCTTTAACCCATTAATGCATAAAATGACGTGCAGTAACATCGGTACGTTACGTGTGAATGGGCCCTAACGCGTTTCGATCTGCATGGCAGCCAGGCATTTCACCCTATGCATTTCTATTCGATCAGGAAGTCAAAGCGAAGTGAATGTTTTGTACCGGCGGAGTGAAGTTGACATTTGCACCCCGGTTGAGCAGGAGCTGGGCCACGTTCAGGTTCTCATAGTGGGCTGCGATGTGCAGGGGTGTGAATCCTGTCTGTAATAAAAAAAAAAAGAAAATAGTGAATTAAGGAATGAGAAAAACAATTACCAACTACAGAGTGGAGGAGCAAGCTGAGGACATTGCAGGATCTTCCGTCCCGCAATCCGCGCCCTGCAGCTACATGTAAACAAAAGGGCAGGATGCTTGTGCTGGTGTCATTGACCTTATATGGCCATACAGAGCCAAGGTCAATGATTTCACTGCACCCCACCCCTTTGCTTACGTCAAGCTGCAGGCAGGGAATTCCCTGGCCGCAGCTGATTGGGCAGCACAGAAGGAGCTTCCATCCATTTTCGCATGGAACCGGGTTTGATCCGAACCTGAGCTCATCACAACTGGACTGAAACTGATAGAAATATACTTATACACTTTAATATGTAACTTAATTTATGTTGAGAAAAAAGAACCCCCCCCCCTACTGATTCTTGAATGGTAGGGGTCTGATTGCTGAATGGGAGGGGTCTGATTCCTGAATGTAAGGGGTCTGATTCCTAAATGTAAGGGGTCTGATTCCTGAATGTAAGGGGTCTGATTCCTAAATGTAAGGGGTCTGATTCCTGAATGTAAGGGGTCTGATTCCTAAATGGAAGGGGTCTGATTCCTGAATGTAAGGGGTCTGACTGCTGAATGTAAGGGGTCTGATTCTTGAATTGAAGGGGTCTGATTTCTCAATGGGAGAGGTCTGATTCCTGAAAAAGAGCAGTCTTATACCTGCATGGGGGGGGGGGCCGGGTTCTGAATGGGACG